TATCCTAATTATATTTTAGATTTTTTATATTTAAAATGAAATGTTTATCCTGTATTTGATTGTGTTTATCTGCAGTTAGTTACACGAATTCAGTTATGTGATGAAATCGGATAGGGATGAAATTGTTTAGGGATGAACGGGTTTAAGAGTTTTAAGAGTTTTAAGAGTTTAAGAGTTTTTAAGAGTTTAAGCCAAATGCTTTATAATATAGTATAGATATATGTGTGTGTGTGTATACACACACATACATACCTAATGTAACAAATAAAGTATGTGGGGATTAATGCAGGGAAAGCTTGAAAAAGAAATAGCGCAATAAATTCAGTTCGTTTACCCCATTTTTTTCTCTCTCGGTACTCGGTAGACTTGTTTAAAATCAAGTGGACAAAATTCAAATTAGGATTTCATTTGATTAATATGTGATTTTATAGAAGTTTTGATTATTTCATAATATAAAGTATTGATCATAATTAATAAACCATATTCATCTTCCATAAATATTCAAATCATTATAAATGAACTCTCATCGTTTTCATAAATATCTCAATTTATTGGATTGCATTGGTTGTACAAATGCGATGGGTTGTATTTGAAACAATCTCTCTCTCTCTCTCTCTCTCTCTCTCTCTCTATATATATATATATATATAGGCCCATTTAAGGAAGAACTGAGTTGTTTGTGGTAACCGTGAGATCCAATCTCAACCACACAAATTAATAATCAATGGTTGAAAATAAAAGAAAAATTAATTACTGAAATCCAAAAAATAACTCTCCAATATTTAATGTGAGTATGTAAATAAGGGCAAAATGATCAATTCTTTTTTAATTTAATGAGACTATTTTGAGCGCCTTAGAAATCTGTTAATCTTCTAAAATTAAATTTAATCAAATCAAAACAAAAAAACACAAAAATTCTGTTGGTTGTGCCAGAGGAGGTAGAAAACAATTTGTAGACTTTGGTTGAACATGTTATGTTACATTGTGGTAAAAAAGATTGTGGTTTCATGTGCTACCAGAACCACTAAACCGATCGTGAGAATTCTTTGGTAGCCTACAACCAAAAACTTATAAGTCATAAGGGGCTACAAATTCCAATAGTTACTGATGCAGGACAAAGTATTACAATACCAGTAGTGTATTAGGTAACACAAAATGTTGTGTTACATTGTAGTAAAAAAGATTGTGGTTTCATGTGATAATTTAAGAATGTAAAATCAAAATTAATTGGAAGTTTAAAATGTATAGAATTAATAAATAAATATTTAATCTAAATTTAGTATTTACTAATTTGTCCTTTTACATTAATTTAAAAATAATAATTAATATATTAAAATGATTGGTTGAGTTTGGATTTCACGGTTACCACAAACAAAACAGTTCTCATTTGATTAAGCCCCTATATATATATATATATATATATATATGTATATATAGATAGACTTGGGATCATGTGAGACCAAGGGTTTTTCGTGAAACCCGTAAGACCAATTCTTAACCCTTGGATTAAATCTACAATCTAACAATCTGAACATTCATAAACGCCACGAAACTTCTCAATAATCACAAAATTGTCACCGTGCAACTTTAGACCGTTAGATCATTAGCTTATAAAGTTGATCAATGAACATAAATTGGTCTTACGGGTCTCACGAAAAACCTTTGATCTCACGTGAACCCAAATATAGATATATATATATATATATATATATATATATATATATATATATATATAAAAGTAACTTTTGTTTTTCATCCATGTGGCTTGTTAAAAATTGCTATTTTCGTCCTTCTTGTTTAAAAATTGCATTTTCATTTTTACGGTTTATAATTTGAGTTGTTACAAATAAGTGTACATGCTGCGACATTTTTTTTAGTAGTGGGTGTCTGGTCTAACTTGTGCACACCTGGAGTAATCTCAGTGGTCCTGAAGAACAGGCAAGAAAATCATCAATATGCAGGATTCAAGCTGGTGATCTCTGGAAAAAAAATCTCTGGTCCAAAAGCCTTGTTGGGAAATTAATAGAAATAACCATTTTTATCTGAATTTTTTTAAAATATCACTGTTTTTGCCGGTGCCACCTCCTCAATTTGAAGGGGTGGTCAAAATGTAAAAGAAAAGTTTTTGAACATGATCATCAAGTACATGGACCAAATCTATAAATTTGTTTGGGTTCACATGTAGCATTACCTCTACATGTGGAAGTATTTAGATTAACTAGAAGAGTACTTGCGCAATGCAGTGAAACACATCTCCATTTTAATGTTTTATTTTATTATTTGTCTTTGTCGATGTTATAATACGATTTTATGTGTTTTTAAGAAAGCAATAATGATTTTATTTTTAAATAAAATATAAATTTGAAAAAAAAAAATATATATCAATGTTAATATCAAATCAGCTATTTAAAAGTTCTATTTTTTATGTAATTTCTTTAATTTTTTTATTATAATTTAATTTAAGTTTAATAACGAAATAATTTATTTTTGGTTTAATAATATAACATTTTATAAAGATAACAATTAAGTATTCTGTTAGAACTCAACGATTATCCTAATTATATTTTACATTTTTTATATTTAAAATGAGATGTTTATTTTGTATTTGATTATGTTTATATGCAGTTAGTTACACGAATTTAGATATCGAGTTTTAATAAGTTGTACTTACGCACAATCTACTTGCAATTTTGAGTTTTAAGTAATATGCATTAATAAACAATACATTATGCATAAAAATGGTTTTTAAGAGTTTTTGTCAAATGCTTTATAATATAGTATAGATTCACATATTTGGTCCTTATGTACTTGCAGACTATGTTCAAGAATTTTTTTTTTTTACATTTTGACCCCTCCACAAGTTAAGAAATGACCATTTGTACTAACTTTTTAAAAATTTAAGCAGACAAAAGACTAAGGCTATATTCAGCAGAGTAGCTGATGAACAAATCATGTTTGACATAACTTGTTGGTAAAAATATAAGATAACAAAAAAAAAGTCCACCTCACATATCTCAATTAATTAATATTTTTTCAAAAAAACATAGTTAATAAATAAAATAAGTATAACTTTAAAGTTTATGTCACGTAAACATTATTAAAGTTGTTATATTTGCATTTTGATAACTAAATGTATTTAATGATAATTTAAAAAAATAATAATATAAAAATAATTGATATAATAAATAAATAATATTATTGAATAATGCATAATTAAAATTAATTTTAAATTTATATTAATTAATAGTTATAAATAATAATTAATATTAATAAGACTATAAGGGTGCGTTTGGTACACTGGACAGGGACAAGACAGAACATGACAGAGATCCTGTCCCATGTTTGGCAGGAATTTTATGTAGAACAGACAGGAACAAAGTGGAACAAAGTAGAACAGACTTGTTCCACCCTTACCCCATGGAACAAGGGTGGAACAAGGTGGAACAGACTTAGATTTTACCAATATAACCTCAAAATAAAACTTAATTCTCTTCTAAAACATTAAATAGGTCTCTCTTTTACATTTTATTAATTCTTTAAATTTTATTTAATGTATTTTATGTTTCTTAAACTTTCATTTTATTGTCCTCAAAATATTATTTTTATACGATATCTATATTTTTATTAATTTATGTAATTTTATTATATATTAATAATAAAAAATAATATTTTCACTGGGGGTAAATTGGTCATTTTAACCAGTTCTGTCCAGTCCTGTCATGTCTTACCAAACACTGAACAACTGTCCTGTTCTGTCTTGTCCTGTCATGTCCTGTTCTGTCATGTCCTGTTCTGTCATATTTGCGTACCAAACGCACCCTAAGAGTTATAATTGAAAAAAGTGACAATAAGTTACCAAGAAGTTAATTTCAAGTAGTGTTTTAACTTATGTGCATCCAAACATGTACCCAAAAAATAAGGACAAATTGCAAGAAAAAGTAACGTACTTTAACTTGATTTCTATTTTGGATGACGTACTTTCAAAACTTTCATTTTAGTATCTAAGATGTAAAGTTTTAAACATTTAAGTACCAACGTAACTGGTTACCATGCTGATATGACGAGTGATGTGGTATCAAACATGTTTAACCGATTAATGTTTCAACCAGTTACTCATGTAATTAAATGTTTACAACTTTACATCTTAGGTACAAAAATAAAAGTTCCGAAAGTACGTTATCCAAAATAAAAGTCAAGTTAAAATACGTTACTTTTTCATACAATTTATCTAAAAATAGATAATCTAGATTATTTTTACCAAATAATACCTAAGAAAATAATTTAATCCATAAAAATAAAAATAATTATTTCTATTAATTTCCCTCCCTTCTGGGAGAGTGTTTGAGATTACTTACTTGAAACAACTTATGTTTTTTTACAAAAACACTTATCAATTTATCATAAATCAAAATGATTTAACTTCTTCAAAAACTTTTTATTACCGATTTAGCACCGATATAAATAATTTATCAAAATATTTAAAAATATTTATCACTGATATTACACTGGAATAAATCAATGAATTCGTTTTTACAAACAATTCCAAACACCCGTTAAATAGTTGAGTTATTGTTGCGTCACCTTTTTGTAAAACAAATAAAATGAAAAGACAGAATTAAGAAGAGTTGATGTATAAAAGGAAGCTTCTCCCAAAATCTATCCATCGTTGGATACATCAAACGCTATGTTTTCGTGTAAGCATTTAATGCATGTAGACTCCAGTCCAGCTTGCAAGTCGCCGATCGCCGGTATCTCCATCATTTCTACTGACAACTCTACCAATTTCTCTATCTCTGCAACAGCAATAATTGCTCATTTCGATCTTCTTCTTCGTTCTATCATGATTTGATTTGTTCTTCTAGGTTTAATTGATTTCTGATTCAGATTTAGTGAGAGAAAACCAGAAATGGTGAGAGCTCCGTGCTGTGAGAAGACTGGATTGAAGAGAGGACCATGGGCGCAGGAAGAAGACGACCTTCTTATCGATTACATCAACAAAAACGGCCATGGAAGCTGGCGATCTCTACCAAAACTCGCTGGTACGCATCTCGACCTTCGAATTCCTATCTTCTCGGAGAATATCGCATTTCATTTCTGTCGTTCTGTGCTTGATTTTTGTGGATTTGATGTTCGCCATGGAATCTACGCATTCGATTCGAGGAAAATCGAATGCGATTTTGAATCGTTGTTTATATGAATGCGTAAGCTTCAGATTAGTTAAATCGTACTAAAATTTGAAAAAACTTCGAAGAATAACAACATTTTTTGAGCATCCATGATGATCTTACTCTGCTAGGGTTTCATAGTCCAGTCTAATCGATTTTCGCCTCTACTCAATTACTAAATGCAATATCATCAATCATTTATAGAACGTGAACCTCTTTGTTGCATTATCTGCCATGAGAGATCTAATCTGTGATCCGAACAACTATTTTTTTCCTTATGACACATCATGAGGAGAAATCACCTCGCCGATTGCTGCTTTGGCCCTAAGGTGAAGGAAATCAAAAATCTAAGAACATGTCTAATAGATGATGGAGATTTCTTCGAGTTCAGAAGAGATGATAGAAGCAAAAAAAATTCAAAACTTAAGATTTGTAAAATAACATCTCTCTTAAAGATGCTCTAAGAGACTTGATTGTTTCGGTAATCGAACTCAAGCAGCTCTATTGCATTTTGCACCATTATTGCTCAACTAAGGAGCAGGGTGGAACCATGCTAGTGCATCATCCACGGACCATTGTCTTGTTTCTATGTTGTAGTGTAAAAAATTTAGGGTCGTTAAAGGGATATAAATCACTTGTCTCAAAATCATGTGTCATTCATGTACCACCAATGAAACTAAGGCACATAGTATTATTTATTTTTTAAATTTATTTAATTCATGTTTACTTTCTCTTTCTGCTTACTTGTATTCATATGATTGGTAACATGAAAATTTGGAATTGTGATTTTTATTGTGGAAGGGTGCCACTATAAAAGACACGAATATAGGGTATCATGTACAAAAAGTAATGGAATTAGCCGATAGACCGTTGATAATTTTATAAAAAAATAGGGCAAATTGCATAAAAAAGTAACGTACTTTAACTTGATTTCTATTTTGGGTAACATATTTTCAAAACTTCTATTTTGGTACCTCAGATGTAAAGTTTTAAACATTTAAATACCCGGATAACTGATTGAATCATTAACTGGTTATCATGTTGACGTGGTATCCAACTCAATAATATTTGCTGACATGGTTAATGACATGTTTTTTTAAAATCTTAATCTAGTTTATTTTTAATCTAAAATTTGTCTTTAACCGTTAACCGGGTACTTAAATGTTTAAAACTTTACATCTTAGTTAACAAAATGGAAGTTTTGAATGTTTGTTACCCATAATAGGAATCAAGTTAAAGTTAGTCACTTTTTCATTAAATTTAACCTAAAAAATATCCATATGTTTATTTCTTATTATCAAATTGCACCATTTTGAAATTTCAAAATCCCTAAGCCTGCCTATGCAACCAAGCTTCCTCTTCAATTATTACAAAATACATGATATAACATAACTAAATATCCTGACATTTACAACTTGTCACATGCATTTAAATTCGACAAAGTTGGCATAAGATGATGAGTCAAATAACATTACATGTAAATGAATTTTGTCGAGTTTAAATGTTATTTAACTAACATTTTATAGGCAATGTATTTATGTAATTTTATCGAGATTAAATACGTGATATAACATAACTTAGGGGTTATTTGTTTACTTCTTAATAGTTTTATTAAAGGACAACCTCTGAATCGTTAAGAGGTGAATCTTGTTTGGCCAAAAAAAAGTCTTCACTCTTAATGGTTTTAAAACCATCTGAATGATTTTGTATCCTGGATTTCCCTTAACCGTTAAGAGCCCTAATTTCATTGTACATAATTACCAAACAATTATATTTCATTTTGTATTATAACTTACAACATTACATAAATAAATGGCTTTTAAGATGTTGGTTCAATTATATTATACTTCTTTCATCTTAAAATAAGTATCTATAATAGATCTAACATGTATTTTAGACATGTATAATTATTACACTTTTAGTAATCAAATGACAACTTTAATTTTAATTAATTAATTTATCTTATCAACTTTTCGATAGATCTTCTTTTAGTTGAAGGTAGATTTGAATATTTAGTTATCTATTTTTGAAGCTGGACGTTTATTTAAGGATAAATACAAAGGATAAATTGCTTGAAAAAATAAATTACTTTGATTTGATTCTTATTTTGGGTAAGGTAATTTAACTTGATTTCAGTTTTGGGTAATATACTTTCAAAGCTTTCACATATCTAAAATGTAAAGTTTTGAACATTTAAGTACTTGAGTAACCGGTTGAAGCATTGATCCAGTTACCATGTTGATGTGGCGAGTGATGTGGTATCCAACTCAATATAGCGTGATATCAACATGAATATCTTACTACTGAGTTGGATACCATATCACTCGCTACATCAATATGATAACTGGTTAATGCTTCAACAGCTACTCGAGTACTTGAACGTTTAAAACTTCACATCTTAGGTACTAAGGTGGAAGTTCTGAAAATACGTTACCCAAATAAAAAATCAAGTTAAAGTATTCCAAATAAAAATAAGAGTATATACATTTATTATGTGATAAATAGGAATAGAATCGTGGATATCGGTTGGAATGCATGTTACGATAGATTAGGTGTAGTACAAAGTAAAAACATTTTTTATTTAGATAATATATAAATCTAAAATTAATTAATTATTTATCGATACAATACAAAATCATTTCGTCATAATAAATCTAATCCTTAAGTAAACAGTAAAGCATGACACTCATTTTATGCCATGTATAAATACATTATTTTTCTGTTTACAAAATATATTTTAGACGTATTTATATATTCAAAACAGTCGCAATTTTTTTTACTTTCTCGTTATAGCTTTTGGTATATTTTGGAAGTTATTTATTTATGGGAGTCTTGTGAAATTGATATTCTAATGACTAGTTTCTTTTTTAAGTATACTATTTGTGTACCCGTGTAACGCGACGTGATGTCAAATTTTCTAATAAGTTTACGACTAAAAATGAGTGTAATTATTCATTAAAAAGTACAAAATTCACCTTGGGGGATGAAAAGAAGACATAGTTATGAGAGGATAAAAGCACGAGTGAAATGTGTTAAAAGTATCTTGGGAACATGAAAACAAAAAGTAATAATGTGCATTGGTAATTTATACAATATGCTATATTAATTGTAGATTAAAGTATTTCAAGACGGAATCCATAAGGTAGTAGTACTTAATAATGCATTATGAGTTGTTTTTAAGGCTTTTAAGACTTTATGCACAAAAGTATAGTACTTTGTGCATTAAAATTGTTTTTAAGACTTTTGATAAATCTTATTTATAAGGTAGTATAGATAATATTTATATAAGACAAGTATAATAAAAACTTACACATCCTCTTCATCTTTTGGTAAATTTAGTTATCTCTTGGATGTAGTTTATTCCTTTAATTTACCGCATTTTATGCATAAATGTTTTTACATTGTATTAACATTTATCCATGAGATACGCAAGCAACAACCAAATATTATATAACGTTATTCAACTAACATCTTGAAGGCCATTTATTTATGTAATTTTGTTTAAATACATAATTTTAAGAAAAACTTAGTCATATATTTAGAGCATCTTTAATAAATTTTTTAAATTAAAAAAATAGAATTTTTTACGCTTTTAAACCATCTTCCTTTATCTCAATAGACTACTAAAGAAAACAAACAGAAAAAGTAAGAGTGATTTTGCTCAATAATTTGATGTAAAATGATTTCAGAATGATTAAGAGGTTTTTATGATATAATGTAAATTAAAATATAATTATTTGGTAATTATTTACAATGAAATTAGGGTGTTGAATGGTTAAAAGAGATTAAAGATATAAAATTATCCAGAGGATTTTAGAACTATTAAGAGACAGATTTTTGTTTTACCAAACAAGATTCTTCTCTTAATGATCTAAATACTTTTTTTAATAAAACTATTAAAAGATAAATAATTTTTTGATAGATAATAATAACCTTTAAATTTGAATAATTCTTCAAAACTGAATATAAAAATGGTAAACATTTATTTTATTATTCGTACCATGAATAAAAAACATTATTATTGGGTATAAAATCTGTAATAGAATATTAAATATCTTGATATTATATGTTGAAATCTTGAATATAAAAATTTGGAAGGCAGTCAAAGATACTATTTCCCATAATTAATTTTGTCTTTTTGGTAATAAATGATGGGGGAGAGTGGGACTATCCATTTTCTTGCATAATAAAGAAAAAGGTACAAATATCATCAGCCTCGTCTTATCAGAAACAGACACCCTATCCTATCCTTCTATTATGGAAGATGTGGAACCAGTCTACTACTTACTTTCTGCCACTGCTCACTTGCACACCACATGTTTCTTTCGATTTTTATATGTCTTTTTGAGTTCAGACCAAAAAAGTCTCTTTAACATGAAATGAACCAACTTTCTTCGGGTATTTGCTAAATGCAATTTTTCATTTTTTAGAATTAGATTAAATTATGTATTGAAAATATAAAAAGCAAAAGTTGATGACCTAATGGTTAGGGATGTTCATGGGTTGGATTGATCGAGTCGAAGACATTTGAACAACCCAACACAATGTTTGTGGTTTGAAAAATCTTAATCCAACCGAAACTAAAGTGCAACCCAACCCAACCCGTACGGGTTGTCGGGTTGATACTTTGGTACATTAAGATATTCGTCTAACCTAGAATATGTTATTTCTCTACTCGTAATTTTTTTTTTCATTATCAACAATTTGATACAACTTATCCATATTTCTTATGTATATCACATTCAGTTAATTTTCTCAATTTACATATATATGTTCACAGTTATTGAACATATATACGAATGAGTTATATAAAGATGTGAATAGATTGAAAATATGTGTATATGAAGAGCATACATGATAGTGTAATTGTCTAGTGTACATATTAATAGAAATTCAACAATCATATTAAATCCAATAAATAAAAGGATATTGGGTTTATTGGGTTGAGTTGGGTTCATATAATAGTAACCCAATATCAACCAAATACCCACGGTTTGACAATTTTACAACTCGATCAGACATCGGGTTGTTTCGGATTGAGTTATTTCGTGTTGGGTTGAGTTGATCGAGTTTTTGAGCACCCTTACTAATGGTAATGTATATGAATTAGAAATTAGTAAATAGAAATACATTTAGCAAGGGTGTGTTTAACGTAGCCCAATATAAAAAGTTAAATTACATGTTTCATCATATCTATACTATATCATAAAACATTTGATAAAAATTCTTAAAACCCATTTTTAATGTATAAAGTACTGTTTATTGATGTACATTACTTAAAATTCAAGATTACAAGTAGATTGTGCATAAGTACAATTTATTAAACTTCATATTTGAATTTGTGTAATTAATTGTAGATAAACATAATTAAATACAAGATAAACATCTCATTTTACATATAAAAAATATAAAATAATTAAGCTAATCATTGATTTTTAACAGAATATTTAATTATTGTCTTTATAAAAAAATTATATTATTAAATCAAAAATAAATTGCCTTCATTATTAAACTTAAATTAAATTATAATAAAAATTTGAATTAAAGAAATTACACAAAAAAGAGAGCTTTTAGATAGTTAATATGGTATTGATATCGATATTTTTTTTTTCAAAATTTGATGATATCTACAAATTTATATTTTATTCAAAAAAATATTATCATTTTTTCAAAACTATATAAAATGATAGAGATAAAGAACAAAACAAAATATTAAAATTGAGATATATCTCGCTGCATATATTGCACGAGTACCATTCTAGTATATGTATAACGGCTCCTGGTCTCTTTTTTAAAATTCTAAGGGATCATGTTTCTATAATTGCATTTTTAGACTTTTTTAAGAATATAAAAAAACTCCGATTAAGAAGTCCAATCATTGTGGATTTAGTGGATGTATGAGATTGCTTATTTGAAACAATTTATGTATTTTTTGCAAAAGTCTTTATCAACTTATTATAAGTTAAAATTGTTTAACTTCTTCAAAAAACTTTTTATTACCGGTTTGGCACCGGTATAAGCTGTTTAACCAAACACTGTAAAGTGCTTATTACTGGTGTCATACCGAAATAAGTCAATAATTTGTTTTTTATAAGCAAACCCAAACGCCCCCTTAAATATAAAAATATAAAAAACGGAAAGAAATTGGGATTAGATGAATCATATGAGCAGTAACTTACGTCTTTTTGTGTATGATTAACGTATGTATTTATGGTAATAGTGTCCAACTTATTCTACGACTTTTATGAATTGTTTAAAAAATGACTCGATACACCAACGTATACGGATGTCACTTCTCTAAATGACATTTATACCCTTGGTCCTTTGTAAGTTGTTGTACAATGATGGCAGGTCTACTTCGTTGTGGGAAGAGTTGTCGTCTCCGGTGGACAAATTACCTCCGGCCAGACATCAAACGAGGTCCCTTCACCACTGAAGAAGAAAAACTTGTCATCCAGTTGCACGCCATCCTCGGTAACAGGTACAATTGGACTCGTTTTGTTCTTTCCGTTTCTCGTAATGTTACAAGTATAAAAGCACATAATATAACCACCCTTCACGTATCACGTTAATTCGTATATTTTTGAAACTAGTCCGTAATTTTTCTTTTTACAAATTTGGACCTGGTGTATGCAACGTCGTCAGGTTTTGCTCCCATTCACTAACGGTCGTTATCTTTTCTAGTTACACTGTTCTCGAGGTGTTTTTATGAATGAAAGGAATGGAAAGAGAAGGAAAGTAGGAGGGAAAGGAAAGGGAACAAAAATAATTTTTGAATTTATAAAAATTAAAAATATTTGTGAAATTACACATATACCCATAAATTATATTCTACTATAAGGGCATATTTGTTTAAAGATCTCAAAAATACAACGATTAACTCTAGTTAAGAATGAATGGTATTTTGGTCATTTTAATCCATTTTCTTAATTTTTTACATTAAGAATTATAAATTACGTTGTATATTAATTTTTTTAAACCTATATGCTGCAAAACACTCGGGAAACTCCTTACATTTGGTATGTGTATTACCAGGTGGGCTGCTATTGCTGCTCAGCTACCGGGGAGAACAGATAACGAGATCAAGAACTTATGGAACACTCACTTAAGGAAACGTCTCGTGTCCATGGGCATTGACCCACAGACCCACGAGCCGTCTTGTTCGGACAGCCGGTTGAAACGACCCCCTGCCTCACCTTCCACCCGCCACATGGCGCAATGGGAGAGCGCCAGGATGGAAGCCGAGGCACGGCTCTCGATGGAGTCTTCGGCTTCGGTGTCGGTTCTACTTTCGTCACCTAACAAGAGTACCACCAGCACCGACTATTTCCTACGTATTTGGCATTCAGAAGTCGGTGAATCTTTCCAAAACCTCAACAAGGGGAAGATGGGTTGTTTCAGCCCAGCTTCCCAAACCTCCGAGTCTAACACAACCATAGAGACAGAACCTAAACCGTACCGTGAACCAGAACCACGGCTAGATGGTGTAACTTTCTGCCAGGGATTTACGCGTGCGTCGAGCCCGTGTGAAATGGAAGATTCATCTGATACTTCACTACAATTGTTCTTTGATTTTGCCGGGCTTAATGATATGAGCTTCTTAGAAGCTCAGTTCAACTAAAATCCTTTCGGGATCTATTTTGGTAGTGACGCTTGTTGTGGTATATATGAAGACCCGTGTTTGTTTTTTTAAAGTCTTCAATGTATTTTAATCAGTCGTAAACGTAATGACATTTTGAAGAAAACTTCACATGTATATAGAAAGAGTGTGGTTGGGTTCTTGTGAGAAGGGAGTCAAGGTAAAAAACGCAAGAATGGATCTACAACCTTGGATGCACATTTAGATGGCATGCACCAGTTCAATCCTCGTATCAAGTGTGATTTATTAGTGGGTTTGAGATTAAAAGGTGATTAGAGGTCTACATGGGATCTTGAATGTATCTTAATCTAACTCTCATTTTCACTCGATTCTTTGCTTATATATATACTAGTTGTGTATCTGTGTAATGCGGTGAGAGTCATTAATTTTATCGATTTTGAAGTTCCACTGGTTTTATAAGATAAGATTTAACGATGATATAAGTTACACTTGATATTTACATATTAATACAATCTGAACTAATAAGAGTTATGGTTCCAATTACAGACTATCGATGAAAAAAATTGTATGACAGTTTAAAATCCAATATATTTAAAATCCAACATATTTAAACGACTCCACATATGTGTTCGATTTACATCAAGAGCAAAGAACCAAGAAACTTGAGTTTTAAGATAAACACTTAAAATCAATAAAGAAAACTACAAATTTGACAGATTATAAGTCATGAAAAGACCAAAAAGATGGGTTTTAGAATGAAATTTCAACTGTTTACCTTCTTTCTTGTCCAAAAACTCAGATTAAGGTTGAATTAATACATGTATATATATATATTTCARAAAAACCCAAGAATATATTAATTCAGAACATATTATACAGAGCAATTTGGACAGCCTAACCCCAAAATATATAGTATATATATATATAAATAAATAAATATAAAAGTATAAATCGTAAATATTAAAAATATTTTTTTACGGTATATATTATATATAAAATAATATAATTAAGTTAAAAACTATTCAATATTGGACTCATTTCGAAGGTATTAACGAGACGATTATAATGGTTTAACTTGTTAAAATAAAAATGTATTTTTTAAACATGTTTTAATTGATATACAATTATGTATGTTAATTTGATAAATGTTTAAAATGAAACATTTAAAAGTAAAGAACGTAAAGTAAATTAATTAACTAATATATGGTTATAAAGTGTAAATTTAAAATTATAATTTAAAAAAATCGTTTCAATGTGAGAGGGTGAGTGTATGTGAGGGGGAGAGGAGGGGGTGAAAAAGTGAGATAGTATAAGTAAGGGTATCTTGGTCATTTAGTATTTTAAGACTTTAAAATTTTTGCTAAATTTGTTTTATAAGATAGTATAGATAAATATTTAAAATAAAACATTTAAAAGTAAAGGACGTAAAATAAATTAATTAACTAATTATAGAAGTATAAAATGTGAATTTAAAATTATAATTTAAAAAAAAATCGTTTCAATGTGAGAGGATGAGTGTATGTGAGGGAGGGTGGGGGAGGAGGGGGTGAAAAAGTGAAAAAGTATAGATAGAGTATCTTGGTCATTTAGTATTTTAAGACTTTAAGACTTTTGTTAAATTTGTTTTATAAGATAACTAGAATGGTACTCGCGCAATGCAGCGAGATATATCGTGATTTTAATATTTCATTTTATTCGTTATCTCAGTCGATGTTATAATATGGCTTTATATGATTTTGAGATTGCGATGATGTTTTTATTTTTAAATAAAATATATGTTTGAAGAT